AGTCTCGGGGCCAGAGGACATTCAGAGGTCATTCAGAGGAATCCGTTACCATTTTTGTTTCCGTCGATGCTGCAGCTCCGTCGCTTGGCGTTATCATTCCCTACTTTATTACGCGTATCTCCTTGCTCGCGCAAATTCTACCCGCCCTGTGCAGTTTAACCCTCCCCGGTTCGTGGATGGGTTGTACGTGCTGTATGAACGAATGGGCGCACCATATACACATACATACATATATATATATATGGTAGAATTTATGGGTGAACAGATATACTTAGCCGGCATGGACGGTGTTGAGTGTAACTTGAGGGGGGACGTTATTGTTGCGTTAAGTGTTACGACAACCGGTGAAACTCGCCCGTAAACGGAATGCGAACGAGAGGGAGATGGATTTATTGCTTCGAAAATACGGGGAACACCGGACATATGTACGTACGCGCGAGCGCGAATTTCCGGCTACAGAAACGGAGCACCGATTGATTTCTCCGTTTGTCATTTTATGAATCTCGTTTCGTTTTTGCGTGACACGTGTCCGTTCGCAGTGATAACGATATTGACGCACGAGCAAGTAGCATAAGACGGCGACGAAGTGGACAGTTGCCAGGGATATGAGAAAGCAAAGATTTTAATTTAATTTTTCTTACTTTCGTGAGTAATTTATTTTATATTGTTATTTATATTTTGTCATCATTTATTATATACTGGAAATTGTTTATAGTTTTAAATTTTTGTGTTTTATATGTTGTATTATATTGTGTCACATAATCTGAGATAATCTACAACATAATCTATATTGTGTCACATAATATGAGAAAGCAGAGATTTTAATTTAATTTTACTGACTTTCCTAAGTAATTTATTTTATATTGTTATTTATATTTTGTCATCATTTATTATATACTGGAAATTGTTTATAATTTTAAATTTTTGTGTTTTATATGTTGTATTATATTGTGTCACATAATCTGAGATAATCTACAACATAATCTATATTGTGCCACATAATATGAGAAAGCAAAGATTTTAATTTAATTTTACTTACTTTCCTAAGTGATTTATTTTATATTGTTATTTATATTTTGTCATCATTTATTATATACTGGAAATTGTTTATAATTTTAAATTTTTGTGTTTTATATGTTGTATTATATTGTGTCACATAATCTGAGATAATCTACAACATAATCTATATTGTGCCACATAATATGAGAAAGCAAAGATTTTAATTTAATTTTACTTACTTTCCTAAGTGATTTATTTTATATTGTTATTTATATTTTGTCATCATTTATTATATACTGGAAATTGTTTATAATTTTAAATTTTTGTGTTTTATATGTTGTATTATATTGTGTCACATAATCTGAGATAATCTACAACATAATCTATATTGTGTCACATGATATGAGAAAGCAGAGATTTTAATTTAATTTTACTGACTTTCCTAAGTAATTTATTTTATATTGTTATTTATATTTTGTCATCATTTATTATATACTGGAAATTGTTTATAATTTTAAATTTTTGCTTTATATGTTGTATTATATATTGTGTCACATAATCGGAGTATGAACAAATAGTACGAAACGATAAAAAAAGCGGATAATTATATAAGGGAAGAACAAGGATTTTACCTTGTTTGATTAATTCGTTCCGTTTTCTCTTTCTTTTATAATTTGTAATTTCAAATTTTGTTGATATTATAATTAATTGCAGTAGATTGTAATTTATATATGTGTTGTGCACTATATATTGTTTATTGTAATTATTTATAAATTGAAACTTTATATTATATCGTGTTATGTGGTAATAATATGTAATTATTATTTATAATGTGTAGAATTCAACAAAATATGTTGCTTTCAACTTATACTGCTACCACAGTAGTATTGGACACTAATCAGGGAGACGCTTCTGGAAGTAGTATGAAACATAATAAAGTACATGTACATAGTCAAATCCATTAGTATATAAAATTTATTTCTCGCAATATTATAAATACTTCAATTTTTTTGAAATTCCATTGAAATTATAGAAGCAAGACTTGATGAAAAAATACTAAAGAAATCCTTGAATTTTCCCTTCATATTTCCAATATTAAAGAACAATATTCGATATTATAAATTAATTAAAATGGTTACATTAACGCAACGTGTTTCCTAATGAATTGAAATAAAAAATGATCGTGATTATCCAATATTATATATCATATATTATTACTTGAATTTCTAATTTATATAATTACAATTTATATTGTATGAATATCAACATTATATTCTGTGTTTTAATCTACGCGTTTTACTCTACGATTATACATATAATTATACAATTTCATATTTATTTGCATTTGTAATTCATTCCAATTTATTCCGTTGTACATGCCACGTATATGTATAAAGTTACTAGCTCCACGCGTGGCTATACTTCTAAGTTTATCCTTTCCTCGAAATGTGTCGTATTAAGCTCTACGCGTTTTTATATTTTTCAGGGGACAACGCGCCCCGCCTGTAACACACACACACGAGGCGCACATTTACGTAACGACAGTTAAATATCCGCCTGTTTGATTATACAGATGTTGGATATTAAGGAAGGTCGTCATAGTTTTACGAGCGCGTGTACGCACCCTCCAAAAANAAAAAAAAAAAAAAAAAAAAAAGAAAGGAAAGAACGCGGAAACAAAATATTTCCCTGTGTATTAATTAATAATTCTCGGTTAAACGCAACACACGTAGTCACGCAGGAACAGAGCGGATCCCCTCGTATGCGGAGTGTCACGCATGACCTAACGCGATGTCGGATGGCACCGGGTCATTGTGATGCCAACACGCTGAAATAAATGCAGATGGCTTCATTTTTCTTGCATGATCTGACCCAATAAGCCGACAAATGCTTCGAAACGACCTCTGCTCTTCTGAATCGTGCTGTTTGCTGTATAAATATCGATTGAAATTCCACCGACAAACAGTATTATTCAAATTTACAACCCATCGGCCGTTGAATTAGGACCAGTCATAATTTCCAATAACGTGCAAAGTCTTCAGTGAAAAGGAAAATGAAAGCATATTCTCCTCGATGTGAATTGAATTAATGCAATTTATTTTGTGAGAAGGAACTGGTTTTTTCTTTTTCGTGAAAATTATATTTGAAGCAAATATTGGCGTGTTTTAGCGAAATATCTCGTTAGTGGATCGATGAGAATTAATTCTAATTAATAATTGTATAACAATGATAAAGCTCTATCTTCCAGTTTCCTTTGCACATAGTAAATGAAATAACGTCAAGAAAGTTTGCAGAATTTCAAATGGGGGAAGTTTAAAGAATTTTAATTTTTTAAGCTCTCCTCTGTGACAGCCGCGTGATCTGTTTATGAAATGAACTTTCATAATTTCATTATACTTGTACTCAAAGACAAAATGTTTATGAAACGTGTTTCATCAAACTTCTGTTTCATTAACTGAATTGCAAGGAGTAATTAAAGTTTTCGATTTCGGTTGGTTAGTTATTCACGTTGATTTAAAGTCAACGATTCGCTGATTCTTCTGAAATTTAATTAAAAGTACACGCGTCATTTAATTGGCTATTGTAAACTCCTTTACGAATGAATTCACTTTTTAATTCATCTCTACTTAAAATTAGGATACATTTTTCTTCTGTATTCTGTATATATTATATTATCATTATTATTGTTATATTAATTTCTTACGTTTGTCGAAATTTTTATATCTATCGTTACAATCCAAAGATCCGTATCTATTCGACCAACAGATAAATCGTTGAAATACAGAAGCACCATTATTATTATTGCGATAATGCTAAACGCGTTGCCGACAATACATCGTCCAGTATCGTAAAACAAATCACGTAGACACAGATGTTTATGATCCGACGTAACAGATCATTCCTGCAGATAAATCTGAATTTATGTTTCGCAAACTGAAAACAGGTTGCAATTTTATTTCCACAAAACACCTGCTGACCTCGTTGCGAGATGTGATACAAAATGTGCAATACCAAGGTAGAAACTGCGCTGGCAAAGGTATCAAACGTTTCTCTCTCTCTCTCTCTCTCTCTCTCTCCGACCCAATGTCTGGCGCTCAACAAAGGTGGAGGACGTGTAATAGCGACGGCAGAATCACGGCTCAGACTTATAAAGAATAATTTATGACTACTTGAAATTAAGATAGTGACGTTAACAAATCTGAATTCTCTGTAGGGGAAATTACCAGCAAACGGGACAAAAGGAGCTCTCGTACGTAGTACGAGAGGAATTTATTCTTTTGGACGATAAACTCGCGGGTTGTTCCGCGGATTGACCGATACGATTTTTAAATGAAATCTCCGTGCATTTTTCGTATTTCACCGTACGCTGGAAGTCAAACTGCAAAGCGTACGAATGCAATCGGGAATTCTATTTCTTGTGTCTTATATATGAACGTGGATTTAGAAGGATATGTCGGTTTGAATAGCAGCAATATTCCAAGAAGCCCTCCTCTGTGTTTATTCTTTGACCGAAATTCCGATTTCTGTTGTTGCGGATATCAAAGGGACGACAATTTTCTGTTTCATGAACGCGCAAGGAGTATTCATAGCGAATGCACGTGTAGCAAAATAATTAAAAATCTGACGTTCTGAAGTCATTCCAAGAATATATTGGTTACAGTGTTATTGCAAATAATAAATGAATGTATAAATATATAATCGTTGTCAGGGACAACGTTGCTCTTTATTAACCATTCAAGACTACGAATTCTCGTTAGAAGTTTTATATAATTTGTTACTGTCTGAATATTTCACATGAATCAAGCTAAAAATTTTTCGAGCAAAATTGTCATAAGATAATTTATACTTTTTTTTTTTTTTGTTGACGTCATGAAGATCTGTTTTTAGAATTCAATGATCGAGAATTCGTTCGTGACAATTGAATGATTAATGTAACTAGTTTTAGGTAGAAAATTTTGGCATTATAATAATTAAATAACAATTCTATTTCATATTTCAAGTACCTCCAAATATTTTGGATTATCCAACGAGCACGGACATGGTGGTGCCAGAAGGCAGTAAAGTGAGTTTACACTGCGAAGCGACGGGATCACCGGCACCTAACATTACCTGGCGACGCGAGGATGGCCAGGACATAACCTTGAGCAACGGGCAGAAAGGTGAGTTTAATCCTTATCAGAGTTTATGTTCACGTTATTTCAAAATAATTGAAATACACACCTCTCTCAATAGACGTCGCGCTTGATAAGTGTCGCAACTCTTATTTTAATCAATAATTATTGGGAGAAGTATTTTTTTTTTAAATGACGCAGAGAATAAAAAATAATTGCAACAACATAATCCTGATTATTTTAAAAGAATTCTAATACTCTTTCTTCTTTAATAATCCCATCGTTCGTCCATTCTCCATAGCTATTTTACAACGTGAGACGATAGGAGATCTAACGAATTAACTTCAATTGTTCAATTAAATACAATTCTGAAGAATAATAAATTGGAAGGGAAGGGAATAACGAGGAGAAAATGATAGGAAATTTTAGAAAATATGTACGAAACTCGTGTTTTGCAAAATAGTCATTCAGAGAAGATATTCAGATTAGAAAACAAGTAGTAAGTACGAAAATATGAGAACACATCGTTAAAATTAATTTTCTTCTACTTTTCAATTCCATCTCGTTACTCAGAAATTTAATTCACTCGGCTGGTACACGTCTTATACGAAATTCATGTCACGGGTATATTATACTAATCTGGGAATAACGTGATGCATCACGAGAACGACGTCCTGATCGCTCGATTTCTATAAGATTTTCAAGTATCCGGGGGTGATAAGCTGCGGAATTATATTCGCCAGATTCGCGGTGGTTTGCAACCGAGTCGTGTAGTCTCCAGAGAGAGCAAATACACCGCGTTCGAGCAAGGCCAATAGGTTAGAGGCTGGTGATACGTTTGCATAGGTGGGGAAGATCTGCTATATTTGCATTGAAATTGGCAAACACCGGCAGGGTGCAACGCGTACTGAGTTTCGCATGGTTGCCTCCTGCGTCCGACAATGAAAGATTGAATGGGTCGTGACTGCCTGTTTGTTTAAACACGCCGCCTTATCCTCAAGCGATTTCATTTTTCCAGTCATGGATCGCGATCGCTAAACTGAACCATCCTCGCTAGAGCTTCAAAGATCTTTCAATTCTCAAGTACAATTTTTTCACATAATTTCAAATAATTCACTTCTACAAGTTCAATTGATGGAGTACAAGTCGAAATTTTTATAACAGCAGACTTCAGCTGGGGAATATTTTGTGGAAAGTTCAGTTTCGTGGCCAACTATAGTTATAACTTTATTTATCACTGAGAAACGGCAGTACTTTATTTTTCTAGCGTTTCTATTAAGAAAACGATAATAGTGAATAACAAAACATCGTAGAAATGATCTGTATCTCTCGGCAAGAGAGTCGCAAATTCGAAAACAAATTTGTACAATTGTATTTGTGACATCATCGATCTTTTTCAGACTTCTCGAATCTTTCCAACGTCGAGATAAATAATTTGTAGAGATGATGTAACATCAGTTTCATTTAAATGTACGAACTTGTTAGAGGAAATTCACTAAAATCCAGTATGAATTTATAATTTCATTATGGAATTGAAGTATTTTTTTAATCAGCACGTTTTTTAAAGTACATATTTTACTTGAACTTTCCACTTGTACATATTTTGTAATTAAAATTCATTTTTCACCCTTTCATTAATAAATTATAGTATTATATATTCTTCACATTCTTTATTTAATAAAGATATGTAATTTTTCTTGACTTATTTACTTTGTAACTTGCTTTTTAGTGCTGCGTTCATTTTTACTTTAATTTTAAAAGGTTGCAGCAGACTTCTCAAACAAATGTTTTATAAAATTATATATTGTAACGAAGCTTTTGGAAAGTAAAAATTGTTGAAACTATTAATTAAAATTATTAATTATTTCACTTTGTTCCGTATTTCACTACATCTTTCAATCCACCATATTGTTATTACTTTTTCAAATAAATTTTAAAAAAATTTTGTGCCAAAACTATAGACAACTGAAATATAAAACATTTGTTCAAGTAATTAAAGTACGAGAAACAGGAAAATGTTTATGCAACTGTTATTCTTAAATGTTGCAAAATCATTTAAATCTCTAGAAACCACGTTGTGAATGTACAAAATTTCTAAAAATATTACGAATAGATTATAAAATTAATATAAATTAGAAAATCGTGTTACTCCTATAGTTTTAGTATTAACGAAATTTATTGACTGCAACAATGCGTTCACGTTGCGAAAAATCATTCGAACTTTTAGAAATGCGTCGATGTAAATTCAGAAAATTTCTATGAAAAAAAAAAAGGAATTATAGATTTGCACCGAAACATCTACTCACGTCGACATACCTACAAAAATTTCATTTCGGACCGAAATTCAGCGGTAAAACGCATAAATCACGTGGCTGGTTGAATGCGATTTGTTTCGTAAGAAAAGCAATGAAGGGATTGTAACTGGTTATTCGTTGGATTTCGCGCGGTTTTCGTTCTTTCCTGTTTCGCGTCGTTCAGTTTGTTAGCCGGGCGCAAATATTCCACCAGATTTAATTATGGTTAACGGACGGACGTCGACTACCTAGACTTTCGGATAAGTAAACTAAATTTGCCGTCCCGTAGCCAGAGAAGACAACACCAAAACTGTGTTACTCCCGGTTGCCTGTTTCCTGTAAATTTCCGTTTCACCTTTGACCACATAAACGAAAAATTTCATTTTCTGTAGCTGTTAAAAGCTGATTTTCCAATGACATGAGAGAGAGAGAGTCAAACAATTGACTGCCCTCTGTGAAAGAAACGATTTTTCTTTTCTTTTATTTAAATGTTAACTTTATTCGATGTATGTATGATCAATGGACGAATAAAGATCCAGATGATAGATGATAAATGGTAATAAATAAATTCATTGTTCGTGGAATGAAAAATATATAATTTCGTCAAAATTTGAAAATTAAAGCTAGTTTGATTTATACGATATATAAAGTGATCAGAAATAAAGTTTGTGTAATACAGACAGGAATTTTATTTCTTGAATAGTATCGACGATGAACAAAGCCCGGATGTTTCTGCAAATTTTATATTTCTACGACGATTATTAAAAAAAAAGAAGTTTAATGATTAAAAAAAGGAAAATTAATTAAATGTCATAAAGTGTATTATGCCTGAAATATTTTATACATTTTTCCGTATTATCTGCATTATATGTATTTGCTCATCCCCAAATTTTTCATAAATGCATGAAAATAATTACTGACGACACGTTCAGATATTATTTATCAAGATAAAGTTACGTTCTCGTTTTATGTCACGAATTCTCCATAATCGAAATAAATTTTCGTAGCAGAGGGACCTTTCAAAACCTTTTAGCGTTTCTCTCGGTGAATTCGACTTTTTAAACAACATCGAATTCCGTGACGTCCCGTTAAAAAGATTTGACATGATACGCGTATGTATGAATATTATTATTTATAATTTTATTTCTGGCACTTTTTATTTTTTTTTTTTTTTTGATAAAACCTGACGCGAAGTATAACGAAATACCGTTCTATCGTTTCGAATAAAAATTAACACACTGGGAAATAGCAGCGAGGGGGGGAGGGGGAGGGGGGGGGAGGAACGCGACTTGAAAAATTATACGTTAAAATCGAGGAGAAAATTTCGTGAGCTCGGCTATGCTTTTGATTACTTTCCAAAACAAATTATAGCGGGGAATTTCGACGCAGTTTTCATCGTATTGCAGATAGCACTGCCAGGAAATACACTGACGCTGAAAAAGTTGTTCGAGCCCATTTCAAAAACTTCACGCTCGTATACCAAACTGTCTAAAAGTGTACCTTCCCAAACTTCCCAGAAAAAAATAAAAAAAAGAGAGAGAGAGAGAACACGAAGCTTCAACGAACGCAAGTATCACGTTACTTTATACGTGAAATCTGTTTAATCGAAAATAAATGTCAATTTCGAAGAACGATGCGTTATTATAATATTTATTATACTATATATATTATTTGTGCACAAGGTGTTTCAATTCTTCTTTGAATCTTTTCGAAATATCCCAATGAAAAAAATGAATGAGTAAAAAGATGTTATGTAAAACGTTTGAGATGTGTATTAAAAATTACAATAAAATTATGTTTAGACTTGCAATGTTATTTAGTTTCATACTATTAAACTTTAATCAGTCACTAATTAAACGTTAGTCAGTCAGCCAGTCGTTCAGAGAAGTCTGCATAAATTTTGCTAAATTTCAAATATTCAATTTGAAAAAAATGGATCCCAATTAATTTATTAATTAAAATTGGATCATTTTTAAAATTTCGTGAATGTTATACAATCGAGCGAATAATTATACAAAGCAGGAATAATTGTATTTCCCATCAAAACAAGTTTTAACTGTTATTAAAATTTATTTTACAGTTCAGAGCATCGACGGGCCAAATTTTAATATTTCCAAAGTAACACGAGTACACATGGGCTTCTATCTTTGCATCGCAATCAATGGCGTGCCCCCATCAGTTAGTAAAAGAATTATGCTAACAGTTCAATGTAAGTATTTCTTTTCACACTACGTACGATGTTACGTAGCAAAGTATTAAAATTTCCTTTCAATTCTTTCGCTAGTTCCTGAAAACAGTATCGATATAGCCTTTTATCATATATACAATCATTATAAGCATTATAACATGATCATTAATATTTTAAATTTTTTAAATATTCAGCGTCCCAATAAATATCCAATTTAAAAGCCAATTATACTTCATTTAACTAGATTATTTATTTAAGCAGTTATTATTATTAACCAAAGAATCAATTATTTATTTAATATTTATACTTTCAGGCATTAATTCATAATAATCGAGGTAAACGAGTTAATTCATCATTTAATATGATAATTGTGATACTTACATCTCATCTACATTCTTACACGAGTCGTTTTACTTGTTTTATTTCAAAGGGGAAACAAGTTACGCCCCATTAGACAAAATTGATCTTTTCATCGACAATTGTAGAAATCTTTAATCAAGAGACGTCTCGTTTCAGAATTTTCACATGGAGAAATCTTTTCGATTTCAAGTATCGTAGCGAGTTAACAGGATTTAGAGAATTATCTCAAACTATTTTGCTGGTTTTGATTTTCACTTCCTCGAGCCAAATTGTTCGACCCTTTCATCCCAAACTTATCGAGCCCAATGATAAAATGCAAAACCCGAACGGAGCACGAGCGAAAATTGAACGTTTATTTACGCGGCGGGGGAATTTGTTTTTCTTCTTCCAGTTCCGCCCATGATTTCGGTGCAGAATCAATTGGTGGGCGCCCACGAGGGACAACAGTTGACTCTAGAGTGCCACTCGGAGGCTTATCCTAAATCCATCAATTATTGGACAAGGGATAAGGACGAAATAGTTCCGCAAGGTAGGTTAAAACAATGACTCACTGTTTTTCCTGTGGTACACGCAGCATTTATCCATGCAGAACTTCGTTATTAACGAGAGATTATTTGTTATAGACATCTCAGTCGTTCTCAATATGGCCACAGACATACTTACAATTAGAATCACTTAGACTTTATCTGCAAGATTAATTTTCATTCACTTTTAACTAGTTTTTCTTAATTTATATTAACCAATATTATCTATCGCTTTCAGCAGTAGATATCTTTTGGAATCTATGACTCAAGTATTTAAATTATTATATCTAAATATTTTATATTATATTTAAATTAATTTTATATTATATTTAAATATTTTATATTATGTTTATATTATATTTAAATTTAATTTTATTATATTTATTATATTACATTTAAATTAAATTTAATTTTATATTATATTTAAATTAATTTTATATTATATTTATATTATATTTAAATTAATTTTATATTATATTTATATTATATTTAAATATTTTATATTATATTTAAATTAATTTTATATTATATTTATATTCTATTTAAATTATTATTATCATTTAAGATGCATGTAGTTAGTATTATACGTGGTTGCCCAAGATAGGATTAAAGAAGATGAAAATTAGGTTAGGAAGTTTCGTTTGAAGCGCTGAGAATCATAATCGTGTAAATTACTCATAATGTTTCACGTGAAATTATGTTTTGCGTCTAGTATTGATTTCTCAGTTAAGTGTTAAAATGAAGTATTGCTCGATAATTCTTACCAATAAATGAAGTAACAATAGTTGATCATGAAAGTATGTAAACATATATAGAGTCTTCGACACTTGGAACGTACCATCAACTCAAATTATTAAAATTCACACTTACACCGCTATGATTCTCAGCCTCGTATGGCTGTGTTTCGTATTTTGATTTAATTTTCGTAAGTCTGAGAAACACGTCAGACACATAACAATATGTATAAAATAATTGGACGAAAATATATTTTATTGACAAATATTCTATTTGAATAAGGAAAAATTCGAACAGTAGGATATTAGAATATTATAGGAATATTATATATATATATTATAAATAATTATAAATATTATAAATAGTAGCGATAAAGTACCAAATTGATCTTACTTTCTTCTCACGGCCAACGAAAGGATTTTACACCTAACCAGTTTCCTCGTATTGGTATCTTAATCTTCCCAAGGTGTAATTACACGTCCATATATACACTCTTCTTACACTCGTTGTATTTTCCAACGAAGGAGAAGTCGAAGAAGTCGAAGAACAGGGTAACGAGGACTTTGAATAACGAAAGCTTTGTAACGAACGCATAAACACGCGCACAGCAAAGCGCGAGTATAAACGTTCCAGACCGGGCCTATAAAAGCCAGCTTTAGTACTTTCTATCGATCTGCTGCCGTTCCTTTCCTCCAGATCCTCGTATTTTCCTCGTATCACCATCTCCGCTCGTTTAGTGGCTCTCTTCAAATACATTTTGACGTACAACGCCGATCGGGTCCACCTTCTCCTGACCGTGTCTAGGGTCATGGTGCGTCAGCAACCTACCTGCTGACCGAATTTATTCTCCCTCAGTTGCTCAAGTCCGCCATAAGGCGTTGCATCGGTCACGTGATCCTCGATCCTGGCATTTAGATCACCGCTCAACGACCTAAATCTTCCCAATCCTCGAGCTACTTTTTCCAAATTTCCCAAACACTGAATTTTTCAAAATTGTTCGAAGCATGTTTCTTGGACTGTGTTGCGCGTTTCGAAGTTTCGGTCGTACATGTTAGAATGTCACTGCCGTCGGAAATTAGTCTGAGCAAGGAATTCATTTAGTATCTTATTGGTATACAAATGGATTAATCACGTATTGGAAAATACTCTCATCGTCGAACTTATATTCGCGTGCTTATATTATACTTGTGCCTATCTCTAGAGAAAAGTTCTCGATCGAACATAATAAGTATCCAAAAACATTGAGATCACTGGGGTACAAAATACTGCTGCATTTGCTTGAAAGTTCCACGAAAAAAAAAAATAATAAAATAAATTTCCTGTTCCCGTTATTTTTCAATCCAACTCGCGAACGCGAGAGAATCGTTTTTTTGAATATTTTCGAATGCTTGTGTTCAATCGAAAACTTTCAAGTAGTATATGTATGAGTATATATAGTATATATAGTGTATGTATATACATATACGAAAAAAAAAAGAAACCAAACATTTAACAATCATCATCGCAAATAAAATATTTTCACATCTGTTGAAAACATTCTCCGCAAATCTGCTTGAGAATCCACTTTGAAAACCCCCGTTACAACTGTACGACGTACTGGACGCGTCGATTGAAGAAGCGAATCGACTGCCTAACACGTTTACATGGCTGATACATCACGTGTCTGATCAAATGTTTCGTTTGATTTACCTTTCGCTCGGTTATCCGAACGGAATTAGCCTCTGAATAATACATGCGAGTTTCAAGCAGCCAACGTTAGAGGTGTAACGTGATTTTTATCTAGCATTTATAGAGAGAAATCGAGGATGCGTGTTATGTATATGAAGAACCGAAACGGCAGGGTCTGGCCTTTTCTCCTGTCGTTATTATTACGTCGCCAGCCTTGTTGATATTTGCATCTGTATCGAAAGCAATAATAGTACGTACAGTGTGAATTTTGATCCAGCAATCGGGTTACCGCACAATTTCCATCGCCGCTTTTCCGTCGCCTCGCGTCGTCACATTTTTTTGAAAATTAATCGCCAAGCTAAAAGGAGGAAAGAAACTGAGAGATTTAGAAAATTAAATATTGATCGTGCAAGATTTAACGCATTGGCGCGAGTGACGCCGTCGCGCGCGTTTCTGCTAAAATAGTTGAGAACAAAGTGTTATCACATGTGTGCGTGCACATTTCCGACAGATAATGGTTTTATGCCTGAAAGGGAATTTTGCTATTCTGAATTTTTTTCTATTGATCCAGTAATGTGTTTTCGCATGGTACAGCCGTTTGAAACACCAGCACCGATGAAAATGAAAACGCGCGCTAATGGGTTAAATGATCTCTTTGTTAAATGAATTTCCAAGTAACGATGGAATAATTTGAAAAATTAATATTTGCGCCGAAGCGCACTAATCTTTCCCATTAAATATCCGGGAATATTAAATATTTACGAAAATTTACATGAAACATGTAAAATTTATTATACACTAGAAATTAATTTGCATTACGCTTTTGGTCATTACACTCTTTAAATTGTTCCGACAGTTACAGCATCTTGAGGATGAATAAAAATAGGCTTTCTTTAATCGACAATCTTTTTACGAGAAACAATGCGATGGAAAAAGAATTTCTACAATATTATCATCCGTGAAAAATTATTAACGTATGTGATTTAACTTTATATCAATTTAAATGGCAGAAATTTTATAGAAACAACGAAATCTTATGGGAACTCTTCACTTTCGAAAATTACAAAAACGTTTCTCATCTGCTTTACAATTCTGCATGAAATTTAATTAATAAATTTATTCCTCTCGAATTTTAATTTCATTGAATTTAATTTAATCCAAACTTCGTAATGTACATTCTCTCGTCTCCTATTAGCATTTTGATAACTTCAAACATGATTGCACACCTTCCAGAAGCCTATTTTAATATTTATTTGATTCAATATCTTGCGTATTAGGATAAATAACAGAAAAATCGTTTCTCTCTCAATTTACATTCAGCAACACCCTACTTTCTCTCGTCAATGTTCATTCTATTTCAATTTCGGATAATTCCGCGGATAAAAATTAACGTCACTCCCGTCCCGTTCGAGCACGTGCAACAATGATAATCGTAACTCATTATCCAGCAGAAAATATCCAGGCAATTGCTCGTCAATCGGATTGTCAGTCGCGCCGAAAGGACAATTCTCGGGCATTCTCGAAAAATGATTGTGCCCGCTCGTCCAAGCATGCACCATGAGCGAGGGTGCATTATCGCTCGCGATTCTAGGATTCGCGCCGGTTCGCTCCGATAAACATAAAATTCATTCAACAGCGAGATCCTCGATTGACAGAATGTTTTCCCCCACCGAATTTCGAAGCTGATTCACGGACGATGCCCCTAACGGCCATTCACCTGGCCTGGCAATCGTAGCCGTCTCTCCTTTCATTATTTCGCTTTGCATCCACGTAGCCGTTCACTCCCGCCAGATAGCTAGAGGCCCCGGCATCGATAGAATCTCGAGTCTTACCAGTCGTAGAACGGAAATGTCTCTGAATGGTGTCGATCTAAACAGAAATCACGTTAACTTAGGACCGGTGCGCGACGAATACGAAAGTAAGCTAGATAGGCCGGGAACCAAGCTGGCCCATCGTTCGTGAAACTTGATTGAACCATTGTGGCGCGTTCGTTCAAAAGACGCTGGGAATTTCTGTGCCCGTTTCCGCGCGCGCGACCATTTCCGTAAAAAAAGGGAAAAAAGGAAGGAAAAATCGGCCAAAGAAGCGGCATTATTTATTATCCATCGGATGGATGGATCGATCGCTTGCGAGTTATCATCACAGTTCCAGGATGATAGCGGTGACTTTTCGCTCGCGTGTCCTTGAAATTGCCACGTTCGATGATTGATGAATTTGTTATCGGGACGGTTTACGAGCACAATCGGAGATCAAAATAACGGAATAAATTGTGGAAACGGTTCGACGATTACGGTGGTATTTTGGTTTGTTATATATTTAATGCTCTGCGACCAGAATCTCGTTCGTTCAGAAAATTAAATTCGATTTATCTGAGAGTGTTAAATCAAATTAAATTACTCCAATTTGTAGTCCAATGAACGAATCTGACGAAAGATTGTTTCGTATATTTTTCTAATCATACGTTGATGTGATGTGAAATGATACGAACAATACTGTGAAAGATACAAAAAGGATAAGTCGTTCGTTTCATTCGAGACTGTATAACATAAATTGTACGAGATAAGTGTTCAGAATAAAATTATATTGCAAACAAGTATGCAAAATACGATATTGAAAATGTAGACGTGTCGATGTATACCTTCAAGTTACATGATTATGTATTTACAACGACAAAATCTAATGTGAATAAAGAGAAAAACATAAACTTAATTATAAAGTAACATGTATATTTAACACATCATATAAAATGAGCAATAATAACGACATAATAATTTTTCATTTTCAATCACGTTCGCTCTATTACATCGAAATATATAAATGTATGAAAACATTGTAATCATGTCCAATATCGAGGCTGATATTTATGAAATAAATTTACTTCGTAGTTCTCTATCGAAACTAGTTGTTTGACACAACGAAGTAGTCAAGCATTATGAAATATTTGTACTTTCGAGGCGGTGTCGGGGATAATAATCCGGCAGAAAATTTGAATAATTCATTAGACGCAGGGAGAAATATTTGTTTAATAAAATAATGCAAATTTCCCCGAAAATCTAAGATAAGTTGAATCCAGTTAAATTTTGCTGTACAGGACGTGCGTGGCTGTCATTTGAACGTTGGTGTGCAAAGCTGACACAGCACGTAGCAGTATTACAGGATACTGCATTCGCTAAGATGATTCAGACAAGACTTGATAACGCTAAACATCAACAGTGTCGGCAACACAAACACCGTTGCAGATCAACTAGTTTATTATACAGTGAATGTTAACTGATCTTTGAAAGAACGGAATAAACTATATATATTTAAAGTGGCAATGCAATTTACGAACGAAGCGAATGATTAATATTTCTTCCAATCATGAAAATCATCTTCACACTATGAAAGTAATTCAATAAAATTCGTACATAATTATCTACAGAAGTAATTTATGATGAAAATGCAGAAAAAAGTATGAAAACGGTCTTCTCTTGAAATTTAATTTGATGAAATTTAATTAATTATATTTTAATATAATGTTATTTATAGTATGATATTTTTACTATAATAATTTATATTATAATATTGTATTAATTTATAATTTATATTATTTAAATATAATATATTATAATTTATAATATTTTAATATTTTAATATTATAATATTAGTATTATTTGCTATAATAATTTACATTATTATGTATAATATTTCCTATAATAATTCTCCCGACAACAGTGTGAGAATATAAAGTACTAAGTACAAGTAAAGATTTTTCTAAGTTATGCTGACAGTGTTTATTGCTGGATATAATGCAGTCACGTTAAACTGCGTAGAACGAAAATACAACCACAAATCAACGAAGATGAAATGAAAATAAAGAATGAAATACACGCAGCATAATCTGCTATTAAATTTCTTTCCACGTAGAATCGTTTTACTATTTTAAACAGTCGTTATATATCGTAAATGTATGGAATAATTACCCTTGAAGCAGCGACAGTGACTAACAGCAAAAAAAATAACAGTTGAATAAATTTCGCTTTCCCGTCGTGTTAACGATTAAAGAACTAAACTTTCTTCGGGAAAAATTGCGGTGCAAACGTTTTAGTTTGGAACCGTCTAAATATCTAAACGGATAATTAAAAACAGAAGAAGTTGCAACGAATAAACTTTGACAGAAGCAGATGAATTACTCATTAAATGTTAAACCATCATAACACATGCAACTTTGAAAACTGTGTCTCGTATAAAAAATTCGTGTTGTTGTTCAAAAGATTACTGTCACCAGCGGAAATGTTTTCGATCAAACATTTGAACAGTGTTCATAAGTGTTCATTAAAGAAATAGTGGTATGAGATATAGAATAAAATTATGAATATTTCTTCGAAATACATGGAACAGTGAAATCAGCGACTTTAATTTAATTCATGAGAGCAAAAGGTTCGAGTGGTGTCCTGATTTATGGCACAGGTCAGGCTATTTTCAGAGAAAACCCAGCAGGAGAACTAAGGCCTTGTTGGCTCATTAGAAGTTATCTTGAAATCCGATAATGATTCAATATATTTAATTCATAAAATACTTTCTATGATTGACAAAAATATTACAATTTCAAATTTTAACAAATTCACTAGTAGTGTTAATAAAGTTATAATAAGCGATTTCTAGATAATTTAAATAACGTACAATTGTAATTCCTTTCAGGAGGAAAATACGAGCCTATACTACTGGACAACGCGTATAAAGTTCATATGAAGTTAACAATCAACTCTGTCAGTGCATCGGATTTTGGATCGTATAAATGCGTCTCTAGAAACGCATTAGGAGACACTGATGGCACCATCAAAGTTTACCGTGAGTGCAATTAAACATTAATCTAGATCGTGTACATTATTCACACATGAGTGCGAAACTTTCGTGAAGAACTATATTTAGTTCTTCATTCAAAATACATATCGTTTCTATTGAACTTTCATTTCCTTCTAACGAATGCATTTTTTTCTTTTTTTCTTTTAAACAATGGACGAATAAATTTTAGAAAACAAACGTAATTTTCATAATAGATTGGACTTTTTTTTAAAATAATGGACGAATAAATTTTAGAAAACGAACGTAATTTTCTGCTGTTAATAGATTGGAGTTTTTTTTTTAAAGTGTTAGAATACTTCAATTGTAAATTGTACGTGAATGAGAAATTTCAGTAAAATTCCGCAGAGATCAATGTCAGTACAGTAATCTTCTCTATGCGGGCGATCATCTCAATTTATAGCGAGATGAGCGCCTAGTCCCGTCTCGTTGAAACAACCATGCTTCAGGAAGTTCATCGAAAATTACTTCCTAGTTAAAACCTTTTGTTAAACCGTTTAAATACCTCGTAACAGTAGCTTTGTCGTAACACAAAATTTTATTAGAATAGTCTTTCCGAGGTTTCAACGCATTTCTTCCAAGGAAACGATTACACAGCTTTAATTACTTCCTACTATCACGGTTAATAAATATTAATAAATATTATTTTCTTATTATTATTCTAAAATTACTTTTAAATTCAAAAATACTAATGTAACAGTGTATTAATTTTTCAAAGTTTCTTAAAATATTTTAAAATTTTTTAAACTCAGAAATATTCGTTATGATAAATATTGTTTTCTTACTATTATTCTGAAATTATTTTTAAATTCAAAAATACTAATATAACAGTAGTGTATTAATTTTTCAAAGTTTCTTAAAATATTTTAAAATTTTTTAAACTCAGAAATATTCGTTATGATAAATATTGTTTTCTTACTATTATTCTAAAATTATTTTTAAATTCAAAAATACTAATATAACAGTAGTGTATTAATTTTTCAAAGTTTCTTAAAATATTTTAAAATTTTTTAAACTCAGAAATATTCGTTATGATAAATATTGTTTTCTTGCTATTATTCTGAAATTATTTTTAAATTCAAAAATACTAATATAACAGTAGTGTATTAATTTTTCAAAGTTTCTTAAGATATTTTAAAATTTTTTAAATTCAGAATTAATATCGTTAAAATAACAGATGTGACATAAATTGTACAATACCGATGTATTTATTAAAAGTGGGGAGAAGTATTTTAAAAAAAGTTATCTTCGAGAAGTTGTTCAATATTTGATTCATTGTATAGTTGATTTCCATATTTAAAATAGTATTGAAGTTTTAATGGAAACTTTTTCAGCGTACGCATATTCCCATAAAAAGCTTGTAAATTGTTACATTGCCACTTGTCGAAAACTTTGTTGTGCCAAGTGTACTGAAAGTGTTACTGAAAGTGTGTGTAAACTTTCAGCCGTAATGTGAGGGCTAACAAGAAGTTTGAAAGTTAGAGCATAGATAAACAGCTGTAAAAGTTTGGATTTGTTAAGATGAACTCTTTCGGTATCATATTTTCGTTTCGTTCGAATAATTGCATTAAAAGCGTATAAAGATGTTTACCGAAATTCAACTTGCAAAATTGAAACTATTCTTTCTTTTCCTGTTTATGTTTACGTAGAAACGCACCGTTCATAATAAAACTAATGTTTTTTATTTGAAATCACAATTACACAAGATTTTTAATCTTATGAGAAACCAAATTTAATTACTAAATAAATTGTGTTATAAAAATTCTTCGAACGCTTGTTATGTAAGACAATATTTTAATATAAAAAAAAGTTATGTTAATGTACGTTTTCTATATGTTCTAGCAATGTCATCTTCGAATTCTACTAGTAATACAAAATACAAAGGTGAGTTCTAATTTCCTTCCTTTAATATTCTTTTTATTATAAAATATACTTGAAATTTGAAAATAATAGTATACAAGATTATACTATGATAATAAAATTGAAATAATATTTTACACAAATTTAATGGCAATATTTTTAGAAATTATTTTCATATAAATTTGTCACTTATAAGTCGACTCAATTGAATGACATTTTATTCAATGTGTAACTTAAATAACGATCTCTAAATTTAGCTTTATTTATTAATTACTCGAATTATTTCCGTGCATTAGACTCGACATATACACAAACATGCTTTTAAATCAGGAACAAATTATCGGTAATCTAAATCGTTGGTTAGGGAATAGAATCAATTTGCAGCGGCGTTAATACATTAATTGATTCAAGCACAATTGCGACGAAATTTGAAACACAAATGGGATCTCTTGTAACCAACGTTTGCCAGCACTGAAATTGAAATAAATTTTCACCGGATAATTAATCTTTTTGTAATAATTATAATAATTTTACTGTTGCGTGAATGTTAATTGCATTAAAGAAAGATAACAAAACTTTATATTCCTTATATTATATGTGTATATAGTTAATCATTGACAGTTAGACAAATTTTGAGATATACATATCAAATCCAGATTTAAAAGAGACTTGACAATTCAGAATTTATTAAAAGACGCCGATCTCAAAAATATGAGATTGTGAAAAAGAATTTCCTCTGTCTATATTTTATCAATGATAATAAGCCAAAATTTAATAAATCATACTTTCATCTATCAAACAAAAAGCCAAAGACCTAATTATTCGAAAATTAAAAGATTTATTAAAAGACATCGACCACAAAAGTACAAGAATTTCCTTACTCTGTGTATACAATGTTACATTAGTTGACAAAATTTAATCAATTGTCCTATAATAATTAATTTATCGCACTTGAAAAACGATCACAAAAGTCTGTCTATATTTTATACCTCGTGTTGCCTTCGCTGCGTGTATTCTATATTTTTATCACGGTAGGCAACACTTGGTGGATTAACGATTCCAAAATCTGCTTGTTATTCCGTCCGATATTTTTTTCCCCCCTCCTTTCTTTCTTTTCTTTTCTTTTTCTTTTTTTTTTTTTTTCTCATCTCGATTGGCTCTACGATCTCGTGAAATTTGTTTGTGTTCGACTGCGTTCATTGTT